CCCCAAAACCCCAAAACCCCGTAGTAAGTACATTTAGAAATAGTTTGTATTGAATATTGATTTATTTTATTAAATCAAATCATTGTTTTTCTATTTTTCTTTAGATGCTTTGTTAAGTGCTTCTATAGAAAATTCATTAATATCTTAGATCAATTTTCTCTTATGGCAATTGAAGATCACTCAAGAAAAGAATGATTTATACCTAGAAACCATCATTTTCATCAGCTCTTCATTTTCTAAGAAGAGAATATGAGCTGTCCTGCCTATGAAAGAATCCAAGTTATTCTCTGCTATGTTGAAATTCACATCTAATCTGTATAACACATCAATCTGCATCTTTGACAGCAAATTGTTGGCCATCTTGATGTAAGTATTGCCCTTTTATATATCTTTTGCTGCATCTTGGCATATCTGTATTCTTGCTGAATCAAATGGAGCATATTAATCCTAAAATGAACTCACAAATATAACATGCTTAAACCACTCTAATCCATCTTGCTAAGAAAGTTCAAAGAGGACTGTTTTCTCTAAACTCTTGTTGTCAGCCATTGACAGTTATTAAAGGCACTTTGACTTTCTCCACTTCTTAAGGACCCACATGCCTGCATTGAACATTTTCCCTGATTTATACATATATCCCAAATGAGGTGTGCACAGGGTAAGAAATCCATGCATTTTATCTTTATACTTATCTAAGTAACTTAGAGAAGCTCTGATAATCAGACCACCTAATGAGTGACCAATAAATGTAAGCCTCGCTAAATTTTAGCCTGGACAACTCTCCCTGATGTATTAGTGCACTTCTTGAGAAAGTTTATAGCCCATGTCCATTATATCTCCATCGGTATCACTTTCATTAGCTGTTGAGCATAGGAATTATGACTCAGGGAGTGCGATTGAAATAACATTTTTAAACATTCTCATATCAAATGAAGTACCTTAGAAGCCATGGCACAATACAAATAGATGAATCCCTTGATAGTTTTCTTAAATAACACTGGGATTAACTTTTTGCTCTATCTCATTATCAGTCAACTCGAATGTATTTCTAATCTTATTCATTTGACTTCGTTCCATTTTAACATAGCATTCCTCGAAAATCAGTGGAGCATACTTCTCCATATTCCTCTTCTTTCTTTTCTTAGTTTTCTTCTTCCCAACCTGCTATTCTTCCTCAATTATTTTGACTTCCTCCACGGATAATGGCTCTATACCAGCCATCTCCTTATGAAGTCTTAGCATCTCTCTAGTTTTCTTAGCCACAGTATCATTAAGCTATCCAGTATAGTCCTCACTTGGTATTGAAAAGTCACAAGTCTTGATTACATGTCTTAAAATATTTTCACCGTACCTTTCCTCAAGCTGCTTTTGATATTACTCTGATAGAATTTTGTAAACTTTCTTTGGCCTATAAATTATTAGTTTTGCTAGGTTATTAGTAAGCTCGAATAGCTATCCAGCTATATTATTGATTTCCATTACGATTGCATTGGCTACTTTATTGTGATCGTTTCTTATTTCTTCTTGTAAAGCTGTAAGCAATGAAAATGGCTTGGACTATTTCAAATCGTAATTACTTGGATGCTAATTCTCATTTACTAAATGCATTTTTTGTCTTTTTTAATCCATGTTCACATTCATAGAAGGAATACTTTGATATGATTGTTTGGTTTCTTCCTCTACAGCATCGAAATTCAAATTAGGACTGTCACTCTCAGCTCTTTCGTCATCATCTCTAGCCTTCGAAGCACTTCCACTTCCTTTTAAATCTTCATCAGGCATTATCGATTAATCTTGAAGCATTGCATCATCGAGATTAGAAGATATCACTGTTGACTCATTTTTGGAGTGTTTGCTTTATAGTTCTTTGTCAAGTAATAAATCTAAACTAATGATATCTAACTCTCTAGGAATTTTGGGAAAGTCAATATAGATCATATCGTCTTGGAACACTGACTTCGATGAGAAATTCGTGTAAATTGCCTTTAGGTTATAATAGATCTGCTTTAAAGTATTATTATATTCTAGGTATTTATCATTTATTTTTTTATCGTTCATAACTATAATACCTTGTTCATCTTGGAAAAAATATTCAGCTAAGCTTGTAGGCAGCTTTTTATTTTATTTTTCAGTTTGCAGGAGATATTCTTGTAAATCATCAAACTTGGCTTCAACCAATATACCATTCTCCATAAAGGTATCTCCATTAGATCTTAGCTTTATTCTTTGATTCTTCACTCTAAATCTATAGTCGATTATAGATCCGTGTAATGTGCTGACACATTGAGATGTATATTCTTTGTTGAACTGAATTGGGACAAATGTCGACATTCCATGAAGAAGCCCGTTAATCTGATAAATTTTTGTTTATGCTAACTAAAACTTAGTAGTCTATTTATTGAGCTCTTCCTTCATGATTTCTGCTGATCCAATAGCAGCTGAGAAGTTTTGTTAGGGCGGTGGACAATAGAAAAGTTCACATTTCAAGAAGAATTCAGTATTCAGATATCCCGGTTGCACATCAACTTCAGTTCTAAACTTTACTATATCTCTTATCAAGACTGTCTCTTCAGCATATCTAATAAAAAAGATCTTTGTAGCGAAAGAGGCATTCTCATCAAAGGTTGCAGGCTCCTGAAGTCTATGAAAACTGGCCTTATCTTTATTTCTTGACTCATAATCCTTTGATATATAGTCATAGGGGTTTGCATAATAAATCTAAAGTAAAAGTGCTTGATCAAATAAATAGAATTATACTTTTTCAATGTCTTCATTAAAGAGTTGAAATTTCATGAAGTAAAGTCCTTATTGGAAAAGATCCACATTCCTGAAGTGCTCAATGTGGAGAATAAATTCTGCTATACCTCTAAACGACATTAGAATTATACTATAAAATTATATAATTCTGTTAGAGTATTATAATTTAACATAAATGAACTATCCAAGCTTCACGGGGTTTTGGGGTTTTGGGGG